CAAAGCCTGGGGGGGTCAGGGATGGATGGGATTCTCCTCAGGGCCCTTTCCTTCCCCACAGTGCCTGGGCTGAGCCAAAGGAAAATTCCTGGCACAGTTCCAGCCTGTTGAACCTGGACTGGGCTGTGAAAGCGCTGCAGGTCTGAGGTGTTTTCCCTGGATCTTGGAGGTGGCCCTTGACCAAGGTCAGGTCCCAAAAAGCTGGTGGGGACAGTCCAGGAGCAGCTGGTGGAGGGTGACAGGAGCTGCTGAGCTTCAGGGGAGACCTAGCCTTGAAGGAGATTCCTCGGGAATTCCCTGATGGAATTCCCATGGTCACAGGGTCTGCCCTTGCTCCTCGATCCTGGTGGGATCAATGTGGGGCTGGTTGGAGCACCCCAGCTCTGGGATGCTTCAGGAAAGCCTGGAAACCACCCTAAATTTAGGGTGGAGAGATTTTGGAGCTGGAGAACCACAAAAACCACAAACAGCTGGAAGGAGCTTTGACTGACCCCCACCTGTATCCCATCTCCAGGCCTGGGCCTGGTTTTGGGGGACACGACAGAACTGATCCTTGCTCCCTCCTCCAACCACAGACATCAAACTGGGAGGCAAGAGCAGGGGGAGTGATTTTCCCACATTCCCAGAGAAAAGGTCCTACGACTTCTGTAGCCCCCAGGAGAGGCTGGATGGGGCTTGGAGCAACCTGGGATAGTGGAAGGTGTCCCTGGCAGGGGGGATGGGACTGGATGGGCTTTAAAGGCCCTTCCAACCCAAACCATTCCATGATTCCATGAGAGAGCAGGGCATGGGGCAGCACTGGGAGTTTGGAGGAGAGGCCTGGAGATGGGACCTGAGGGAGATCCAGGATTCCCATCGTGCTGTGAGCGCAGACACAGCCCGAGTGAAATCCTGCAGCTGGTGTTGAACTGCTGAGAGGGGACATTTGAACCAGAAACAACAATTTCCCACCCGTTAATCTCCATGAGAACGGTGCTGAAGTGCTGACAGGGTTGGAGGAATCTCACCACGGCCAATAAAACGTTGGATTTCTGCAGGAACAGCAGATCTTTGCCAAAGGGAAGCGTTGCAGAATCAGCTCTGAAAATGTTTATGGTGCTTTGTGTTTGGGGTTTTTTTTTCCTAAGGAGGAGTGGAAATGGTTTCTGGTGGGAACAGGGATCCCAGGGAACGTGTCAGTGGGAATCCTGGCAGTCAGGCTGTTGGAGGCACGTTGTGGCTGCAGACTGGGAAGCAGAGCTGGAAAAACTGCCGGTGGGATGGGGTGGGAAACAGGGACACCAGAGTTACCTCCGTGCTCCGCTTTAACTCCCGAGCATGACCATGCCTCCTGATCAGCTGCCACAATCTCCACACTTCCACATCAAACCCAGGGCTCACTGTGAGGACCAGCAGAGGTTAAATCCCACCTTCACCACCAGAAACAGCCCCGTTCCTGCAGGCTCTGGGCTCATGGAATTGCATCCCGAGCTTCTCAGCAGCAGCAGAGGAATAAAGAGGAGCAAGTTGTTGCCCTCCCTGATAGAACCTGAGTGGCCCAGTGGGTGTTTTTTTGGCTAAATTCCCTGCAGATGTGGCTGCTGGGACATGCCCAAGGTCTGAGGAAGAAGCAGGAACACAGGGAAGTGAAGGGTGAAGGAAGGGCCTGATCCTGCAGCTGATCACAGAAGCATAGAACAGTTTGGGTTGGAAGGGACATTAAAGATCATCCAGTTCCACCCCCTGCCATGGGCAGGGACACCTTCCACTAGCCCAGCTTGCTCCAACCTGGCCTTGGACACTTCCAGGGATCCAGGGGCAGCCACAGCTTCTCTGCCCAACCTGGGCCAGGGCTTCCCCACCCTCCCAGCCAGGAATTCCTTCCCACTATCCCACCCAACCCTGCCCTCTGGCAGTGGGAAGCCATTCCCCCTTGTGATGTCCCTCCATCCCTTGAAAAAAATCCCATTTCAGTGTGATTTGAACCATCAGATCTCTCTCTTTGAGATTTTTACCTCCCCTGGGACATCCCCAGTGCAGATCCCTCGTCCCGAGTTTGTCATCCCCAAGTTTCTGGAGTCACTGAGGAGAAAAAAATCCCTCCAGGACAGCCCAGGCCTCACCTCAGAGCTGTCAGAGGGTGCTGATGGTGTCCCAAAATCACGTGACTGAGGGTGTTGGGTCTGTCTGTGTTGCAGATCCAGCCTGGGGAGCTGCTGCTGCTCCCAGCCATCCCTACAAAGGGGAACTCTGGGAACTCATCCCACCTCCAGTGATGGGGACACCTGTGTCCCAGAAAACCCCTCAGCAGGTGCCATCAGGCCTCTCATTAGATCTCCCCCCACCTACTTCATCTTGTGCCTTTGAGAACATCTCAGGGTTTCTCTTTTGTCCCTCCAGCCTCTGCTTTGCTGCTGCTTAATTAGTTCAGAAACCAAAAACCCCCGGGGGAAACAGGAGAACCTCTGCAAATTCCTTTTGGAATTTTTGAATTTGAAATTTGGCAATGCCTCAGCTGTGGAATTCTGCCTCGTTTGTACTCCTCTGTTTCCTCCCTTCTTCCCATTAATGGGGGGAAAATGGAAATGTTGGTGCTTTCACTGGATCAACAGATGAATTCCCCATCATCCAGGGATGTGGAACCACCCCGGAGCTGCCCCAGTTTTGGTTGGGTTGGAGAAACACCTCCCATCCTCCAGTCCAGCCTTTCTGGGGGAGTTCAAGGGGTCAGAGTTTCATGAGATTTGAAGCTGCCTCTGTTCCTCCTGTAGGAGGTCGGTATTTAAAGGTTTCTGGGAAGAAAAGCTGGATGGCAAATCCCTCTCTGGCTCCTTACCCAGAAGTGTTCATTAATGACAGGAGGTGGGAAAGAGCATCACCCCAGGTGTGCACAGAGCCCTGGAAAACCTCCACACTCTCCTCCCTTCTTTAATTTTTCATTTCTTTCTTCCCTTTTCTTTTTCCTTTCCTTCTGCCCTTCCTTTTTCTTTTTCCTTTCCTTTTTCCTTTCCTTTTCCCTTATCGTTTTCCTTTCCTTTTATCCTTCCTTTTTCCATTTCCCTCTTCCTTTTTTCTTCCCTTTCCTTCTTCCCTTTCTGTCTTCTGTTTCCTTCTCCCCTTATTCTTTCCTTTCCTTTCTATTTTCCTTCTTCCCTTTCTTCTTCCTTTTCCTTTTTCCTTTCCTTCTTTTGTTTCCTTCTTCCCTTATTTTTTCCTTTCCTTTTTCCTTTCCTCCCTTTCCTTCTCCCCTTTCTTTTACCTTTCCTTTCACCTTTCCTTTTACCTTTCCTTTCCTTTCACCTTTCCTTTCCTTTCACCTTTCCTTTCATTTCACCTTTCCTTTCCTTTCACCTTTCCTTTCCTTTCACCTTTCCTTTCCTTTCA